AGATTTATTTATTGACTAATTACCAACACATTTGCCATACAGAACATCCCACAGCACATGGGCATATATATTTCAACTCTGCTTAGGAAACTGACAAGAACAGTAGATTTTCTTCTGTCCAATACAGTGAACTTGCTGTGAACAGACACGAGTGCTATTTGCACTGTGTATGGCAATGGGAGCTCACTAGTTAATCTCCTTAAAAGAAAACATCTCTTGCTGCTAGGACCAGAAACTGCATGTGATTCAACTGCTTTTATGAAGGGGAAAGCAACACTAGCTCACCTTACAAGAAACACACTCTGCTTTTGAGAAAGGAGCACTCTAATACTCTACTGGGTTTCCTATATGGCCAGAACAGTGAGCTTGCTCAGAACAAAAAAACTGTGCTTCCTACACACATGGGACATTTGTAGTTCAACTCTGCTTGGAAACTGACAAGAACAGTAGCTTGCTGGGAACAGATGCAAGTGCTATTTTCACTGTGTATGGCAATGGGAGCACAGTAGGGACTCTCCTTAACAGAAAACAACTCTTGCTACTAGGACCAGAAACTGCATGTGAATCAACTACGCTTATGAAGGGGAATGTAACACTAGCTTGCCTTACAAGAAACACACTCTGCTTTAGAGAAAGGAGCACTCTTCTACTCTACTGGGTTTCCTAAAGGGCCAGAGCAGTGAGCTTGCTCAGAACAAAAGAACTGTGCTTCCTACACCCGGGCAACATCTAGTTCAACTCTGCTTAGGAAACTGACAAGAATAGTAGCTTCTCTTCCCTCCAATACACTGTCCTTGCTGGGAACAGACGTGAGTGCTATTTGCACTGTGTATGGCAAAGGAAGCGCAATAGTGACTCTCCTTACCAGAAACCAATTCTTGCTGCTAGTACAAGAATCTGCATGTGATTCAACTCCGTGTATGAAACAGAATTCAACTTTAGCTCGCCTTACAAGAAAAACACTCTGCTTTTGAGAAAGCAGCACTCTTCTACTCTAATGTGTTTCCTATAGAGCCAGAACAGTCAGCTAGCACAGAAAAAAAGACCTGTGATCGTACACAAACGGGCCATATCTAGTTCAACTATGATTAGGAAACTGACAAGAACAGTAGCTTCTTATGGGTCCAATACACTGCACTTGCTAGGAACAGACGCGAGTCCTATTTGCACTGTGTATGGGCAATTGAGCATAAGAGTGACTCTCCTTACCAGAAAACAACTCTTTCTGCTAGGACCAGAAACTGCATATGATTCAACTCCGTTTATGAAAGGGAATTCAACTCTAACTCGCCTTACAGGAAACACACTCTGCTTTTGAGAAAGCAGCACTCTTCTACTCTAATGTGGTTCCTATAGAGCCAGAACAGTCAGCTTGCACAGAAAAAAAGACCTGTGATCGTACACACACGGGCCATATCTAGTTCAACAATGCTTAAGAAAATGACAAGAACAGTAGCTTCTCTTGCGTCCAATACACTGCACTTGCTAGGAACAGAAGCGAGTCCTATTTGCACTGTGTATGGGCAATTGAGCATAAGAGTGACTCTCCTTACCAGAAAACAACTCTTTCTGCTAGGACCAGAAACTGCATATGATTCAACTCCGTTTATGAAAGGGAATTCAACTCTAACTCGCCTTACAAGAAACACACTCTGCTTTTGAGAAAGCAGCACACTTCTACTCTACTGTGTTGTCTCTCCTTACCAAAAAACAACTCTTGCTGCTAGAACCAGAATCTTCATGTGATTCAACTCCTTTTATGAAACAGAATTGAACTCTAGCTCGCCTGAAAGGAAACACACTCTGCTTTTGAGAAAGCAGCACTCTTCTACCCTACTGTATAGAGCCAGAACAGTCAGCTTGTTCAGAACCAAAGATCTGTGCTTCATACACACAAAGGCCATAACTAGTTCAACTCTGCTTAGGAAACTGACAAGAACAGTAATTTCTCTTCCGTCCAATACACTGCACTTGCTGGGAACAGATACGAGTGCTATTTGCACTGGGTATGGCCAATTGAGCACAATAGTGACTTTCCCTACCAGAAAACAACTCTTGCTGCTAGGACCAGAATCTGCATGCGATTCAACTATGTTTATGAAAGGGAATTTAACTCTAGCTCGCCTTACAAGAAACACACTCTGCTTTTGAGAAAGCAGCACACAACTACTCTACTCTGTTTCCTATAGAGCCAGAACAGTCAGCTTGCTCAGAACAAAAGAACTGTGCTTCCTACACACACGGGCCATTATCTATTTCAACTATGATTAGGAAACTGACAAGAACAGTAGCTTCTTATGGGTCCCATACACTGCACTTGCTGGGAACAGACGCGAGTCCTTTTTGCACTGTGTATGGCCAATTGAGCACAATAGTGAGTCCTCTTACCAGAAAACAACACTTGCTGCTAGGACCAGAAACTGCATATGATTCAACTCCGTTTATGAAAGGGAATTCAACTCTAACTCGCCTTACAAGAAACACATTCTGCTTTTGAGAAAGCAGCACTCTTCTACTCTACTGTGTTTCTTATAGTGCCAGAACAGTCAGCTTGCTCAGAACATAAGAACTGTGCTTCCTACACACATGGGCCATATCTCATTCAACTCTGCTTAGAAAACTTACAATAGCAGTAGCTTCTCTTGCGTCCAATACACTGCACTTGCTGGGAACAGACGCGAGTGCTCTATGCACTGTGTATGGTCAATTGAGCACAATAGTGACTCTCCCAACCAGAAAACAACACTTGCTGCTAGGACCAGAAACTGCATATGATTCAACTCCGTTTATGAAAGGAAATTCAACTCTAACTCGCCTTACAAGAAACACATTCTCCTTTTGAATAAGCAGCTCTCTTCTACTCTACTATGTTTTCTATAGAGCCAGAACAGTCAGCTTGCTCAGAACCAACGAACTGTGCTTCCTACACACACGGGCCATATGTAGTTCAACTCTGCTTAGGAAACTGACAGGAACAGTAGCTTCCCTTGCGTCCAATACACTGCACTTGCTGGGAACAGTTGCGAGTTCTATCTGTACTGTGTATGGCCTTTTGAGCACAATAGTGACTCTCCTTACCAAAAAACAACTCTTGCTGCTAGGACCAGAAACTGCATGAGATTCAACACCCTTTATGAAAGGGAATTCAACTCTAACTCGCCTTACAGGAAACACACTCTGCTTTTGAGAAAGCAGCACTCTTCTACTCTACTGTGTTTCCTATAGAGCCTGAACAGTCAGCTTGCTCAGAACCAAAGAACTGTGCTTCCTACACACACGGGCCATATCGAGTTCAACTGTGCTTAGGAAACTGAAAAGAACAGTAGCTTCTCTTGCGTCCAATACACTGCACTTGCTGGGAAAAGACGCGAGGGCTATTTGCAATGTGTATGGCCAATTGAGCACAATAGTGTCTCTCCTTACCAAAAAACAACTCTTGCTGCTAGGAACAGAATCTGCATGTGATTCAACTTCGTTTATGAACCAGAATTCAACTCTAGCTCGCCTGACAGGAAACACACTCTGCTTTTGAGAAAGCAGAAGTCTTCTACTCTACAGTGTTTCCTATAGATCCAGAACAGTCAGCTTGCTCAGAACTAAAGAACTGTGCTTCCTACACACAAGGGCCATATCTAGTTCAACTCTGATTAGGAAACTGAAAAGAACAGTCGCTTCTTAGGGTCCAATACACTGCACTTGCTGGGAACAGACACGAGTGCTATTTGCACTGTGTATGGCCAACTGAGCACAATAGTGACTCCCCTTACCAGAAAAAAACTCTTGCTGCTAGGACCAGAAACTGCATGTGATTCAACTCCGTTTATGAAAGGGAATTCAACTCTAGCTCTATTTGCACTGGATAAGCACAATAGTGACTCTCCTTTCCAGAAAACAACTCTTGCTCTTAGGACCAGAAACTGCATGTGATTCAACTCCGTTTATGAAAGGGAATTAAACTCTAGTTCGCATTACAGGAAACACACTCTGCTTTTGAGAAAACAGCACTCTTCTACTCTACTGTGTTTCCTATAGAGCCAGAGCAGTCAGCTTGCTCAGAACAAAAGAACTGTGCTTCCTACACAAAAGAGACATATCTAGTTCAACTCTGATTCGGAAACTGACAAGAACAGTAGCTTCTCTTGCGTCCAATACACTGCACTTGCTGGGAATAGACGCGAGTGCTATCTGCACTGTGTATGGCCAATTGCGCACAATTGTGACTCTCCTTACCTGAAAACAACTCTTGCTGCTAGGACCAGAAAATTCATGTGATTCAACTCCGTTTATGAAAGGGAATTCAACTCTAGCTCGCCTTACAAGAAACACACTCTGCTTTTGAGAAAGCAGCACTCTTCTTCTCTAATGTGTTTCCTATAGAGCCAGATGAGTCAGCTGGTTCAGAAAAAAAGACTGTACTTCCTACACACGGGCCATATCTACTTCAACTCTGCATAGGAAACTGACATGAAAAGTAGCTTCTCTTCCCGCCAATACACTGTCCTTCCTGGGAACAGACGTGAGTGCTATTTGCAGTGTGTATGTCAATGCGAGCGCACCAGTGACTCCCCTTACCAGAAAAAATTTCTTGCTTCTAGGTCCGAAAACTGCATGTGATTCAACTCCGTTTATGAATGGGAAAGCAACACTAGCTCACCTTACAAGAAACACACTCTGTTTTTGAAAAAGAAGTACTCTTCTACTCTACTGTGTTTCCTAGAGGTACAGAAGAGTGAGCTTGCTCAGAACAAAAGAACTGTGCTTCCTACACACAGGTGTAGCTAGAATTTTTTCCTGTCCCACAGTCAGGACAAATCTCTTTCACCTGCCAGTCCCACAGCCGCTCGAACCCGACCAAGTAAACACAGAGACTTATATTGGTTACAAACTGTATGGCCGTGTCAGGCTTCTTGCTAACTGTTCTTACAGCTTAAATTAATCCATTTCCATTATTCTATACCTTGCCACATGGCTCATGTCTTACCGGCATCGTCACATGCAGTTTGTCATCATGGTGGCGGGCAGTCTCTCTGTGACTCAGGCTTACACTTGCCAGCTTTATTCTCCTCCTTTTCCCGCATACACTTCCTGCCTAGCCAATGGCCAAAGAGAGATTTATTTATTGACTAATTACCAACACATTTGCCATACAGAACATCCCACAGCACATGGGCATATATATTTCAACTCTGCTTAGGAAACTGACAAGAACAGTAGATTTTCTTCTGTCCAATACAGTGAACTTGCTGTGAACAGACACGAGTGCTATTTGCACTGTGTATGGCAATGGGAGCTCACTAGTTAATCTCCTTAAAAGAAAACATCTCTTGCTGCTAGGACCAGAAACTGCATGTGATTCAACTGCTTTTATGAAGGGGAAAGCAACACTAGCTCACCTTACAAGAAACACACTCTGCTTTTGAGAAAGGAGCACTCTAATACTCTACTGGGTTTCCTATATGGCCAGAACAGTGAGCTTGCTCAGAACAAAAAAACTGTGCTTCCTACACACATGGGACATTTGTAGTTCAACTCTGCTTGGAAACTGACAAGAACAGTAGCTACTCTTCTCTCCAAAACACTGTCCTTGCTGGGAACAGATGCAAGTGCTATTTTCACAGTGTATGGCAATGGGAGCACAGTAGGGACTCTCCTTAACAGAAAACAACTCTTGCTACTAGGACCAGAAACTGCATGTGAATCAACTACGCTTATGAAGGGGAATGTAACACTAGCTTGCCTTACAAGAAACACACTCTGCTTTAGAGAAAGGAGCACTCTTCTACTCTACTGGGTTTCCTAAAGGGCCAGAGCAGTGAGCTTGCTCAGAACAAAAGAACTGTGCTTCCTACACCCGGGCAACATCTAGTTCAACTCTGCTTAGGAAACTGACAAGAATAGTAGCTTCTCTTCCCTCCAATACACTGTCCTTGCTGGGAACAGACGTGAGTGCTATTTGCACTGTGTATGGCAAAGGAAGCGCAAAAGTGACTCTCCTTACCAGAAACCAATTCTTGCTGCTAGGACAAGAATCTGCAAGTGATTCAACTCCGTGTATGAAACAGAATTCAACTTTAGCTCGCCTTACAAGAAAAACACTCTGCTTTTGAGAAAGCAGCACTCTTCTACTCTAATGTGTTTCCTATAGAGCCAGAACAGTCAGCTTGCACAGAAAAAAAGACCTGTGATCGTACACACACGGGCCATATCTAGTTCAACAATGCTTAGGAAAATGACAAGAACAGTAGCTTCTCTTGCGTCCAATACACTGCACTTGCTAGGAACAGACGCGAGTCCTATTTGCACTGTGTATGGGCAATTGAGCATAAGAGTGACTCTCCTTACCAGAAAACAACTCTTTCTGCTAGGACCAGAAACTGCATATGATTCAACTCCGTTTATGAAAGGGAATTCAACTCTAACTCGCCTTACAGGAAACACACTCTGCTTTTGAGAAAGCAGCCCTCTTCTACTCTACTGTGTTTCCTATAGAGCCTGAACAGTCAGCTTGCTCAGAAAAAAAGAACTGTGCTTCCTACACACACGGGCCATATCTAGTTCAACTGTGCTTAGGAAACTGAAAAGAACAGTAGCTTCTCTTGCGTCCAATACACTGCACTTGCTGGGAAAAGACGCGAGGGCTATTTGCAATGTGTATGGCCAATTGAGCACAATAATGTCTCTCCTTACCAAAAAACAACTCTTGATGCTAGGAACAGATTCTGCATGTGATTCAACTTCGTTTATGAAACAGAATTCAACTCTAGCTCGCCTTACAAGAAACACACTCTGCTTTTGAGAAAGCAGCAGTCTTCTCCTGTATTGTATTTCCTATAGAGCCAGAAGAGTCAGCTTCCTACACACAAAGGCCAAATCTAGTTCAACTCTGCTTAGGAAACTGACAAGAACAGTAACTTCTCTTGGGTCCAATACACTGCACTTGCTGGGTACAGACGCGAGTGCTATCTGCACTGTGTATGGCCAAATCAGCACAATATTCACTGTCCTTAACAGAAAACGACTCTTGCTGCTAGGACCAGAAACTGCATGTGATTCAACTCTGTTTATGGAAGGGAATTCAACTCTAGCTCGCCTTACAAGAAACACACTCTGCTTTTGAGAAAGCAGCACACAACTACTCTACTCTGTTTCCTATAGAGCCAGAACAGTCAGCTTGCTCAGAACAAAAGAACTGTGCTTCCTACACACACGGGCCATTATCTATTTCAACTATGATTAGGAAACTGACAAGAAAAGTAGCTTCTTCTGGGTCCAATACACTGCACTTGCTGGGAACAGACGCGAGTCCTTTTTGCACTGTGTATGGCCAATTGAGCACAATAGTGACTCTCCTTACCAGAAAACAACTCTTGCTGCTAGGACAAGAATCTGCATGTGATTCAACTCCGTGTATGAAACAGAATTCAACTTTAGCTCGCCTTACAAGAAAAACACTCTGCTTTTGAGAAAGCAGCACTCTTCTACTCTAATGTGTTTCCTATAGAGCCAGAACAGTCAGCTTGCACAGAAAAAAAGACCTGTGATCGTACACACACGGGCCATATCTAGTTCAACAATGCTTAAGAAAATGACAAGAACAGTAGCTTCTCTTGCGTCCAATACACTGCACTTGCTAGGAACAGACGCGAGTCCTATTTGCACTGTGTATGGGCAATTGAGCATAAGAGTGACTCTCCTTACCAGAAAACAACTCTTTCTGCTAGGACCAGAAACTGCATATGATTCAACTCCGTTTATGAAAGGGAATTCAACTCTAACTCGCCTTACAAGAAACACACTCTGCTTTTGAGAAAGCAGCACACTTCTACTCTACTGTGTTGTCTCTCCTTACCAAAAAACAACTCTTGCTGCTAGAACCAGAATCTTCATGTGATTCAACTCCTTTTATGAAACAGAATTGAACTCTAGCTCACCTGAAAGGAAACACACTCTGCTTTTGAGAAAGCAGCACTCTTCTACCCTACTGTATAGAGCCAGAACAGTCAGCTTGTTCAGAACCAAAGATCTGTGCTTCATACACACAAAGGCCATAACTAGTTCAACTCTGCTTAGGAAACTGACAAGAACAGTAATTTCTCTTCCGTCCAATACACTGCACTTGCTGGGAACAGATACGAGTGCTATTTGCACTGGGTATGGCCAATTGAGCACAATAGTGACTTTCCCTACCAGAAAACAACTCTTGCTGCTAGGACCAGAATCTGCATGCGATTCAACTATGTTTATGAAAGGGAATTTAACTCTAGCTCGCCTTACAAGAAACACACTCTGCTTTTGAGAAAGCAGCACACAACTACTCTACTCTGTTTCCTATAGAGCCAGAACAGTCAGCTTGCTCAGAACAAAAGAACTGTGCTTCCTACACACACGGGCCATTATCTATTTCAACTATGATTAGGAAACTGACAAGAACAGTAGCTTCTTATGGGTCCCATACACTGCACTTGCTGGGAACAGACGCGAGTCCTTTTTGCACTGTGTATGGCCAATTGAGCACAATAGTGAGTCCTCTTACCAGAAAACAACACTTGCTGCTAGGACCAGAAACTGCATATGATTCAACTCCGTTTATGAAAGGGAATTCAACTCTAACTCGCCTTACAAGAAACACACTCTGCTTTTGAGAAATCAGCAGTCTTCTACTCTAATATATTTCCAATACAGCCAGAACAGTCAGCTGGCTCAGAACAAAAGACTGTACTTCCTACACACAAGGGCCATATCTAGTTCAACTCTACTTAGGAAACTGACAAGAGCAGTAGCTTCTATTGCGTCCAATACTTGCACTTGCTGGAAACAGACGTGAGTGCTATTTGCACTGTGTATGGCCAATTGAGCACAATAGTGACTCTCCTTACCAGAAAACAACTCTTGCTGGTTAGACCAGAAACTCCATGAGATTCAACTACGTTTATGAAAGGGAATTCAACTCTAGCTCTCCATAAAAGAAACACACTCTTCTTTTGAGAAAGTAGCACTCTTCTACTCTACTGTGTTTCTTATAGAGCCAGAACAGTCAGCTTGCTCAGAACAAAAGAACTGTGCTTCCTACACACATGGGCCATATCTCATTCAACTCTGCTTAGAAAACTTACAAGAGCAGTAGCTTCTCTTGCGTCCAATACACTGCACTTGCTGGGAACAGACGCGAGTGCTCTATGCACTGTGTATGGTCAATTGAGCACAATAGTGACTCTCCCTACCAGAAAACAACACTTGCTGCTAGGACCAGAAACTGCATATGATTCAACTCCGTTTATGAAAGGGAATTCAACTCTAACTCGCCTTACAAGAAACACATTCTGCTTTTGAATAAGCAGCACTCTTCTACTCTACTATGTTTTCTATAGAGCCAGAACAGTCAGCTTGCTCAGAACCAACGAACTGTGCTTCCTACACACACGGGCCATATGTAGTTCAACTCTGCTTAGGAAACTGACAGGAACAGTAGCTTCCCTTGCGTCCAATACACTGCACTTGCTGGGAACAGTTGCGAGTTCTATCTGTACTGTGTATGGCCTTTTGAGCACAATAGTGACTCTCCTTACCAAAAAACAACTCTTGCTGCTAGGACCAGAAACTGCATGAGATTCAACACCCTTTATGAAAGGGAATTCAACTCTAGATCGCCTTACAGGAAACACACTCTACTTTTGAGAAAGCAGCACTCTTCTACTCTACTGTGTTTCCTATAGAGCCTGAACAGTCAGCTTGCTCAGAACCAAAGAACTGTGCTTCCTACACGCACGGGCCATATCTAGTTCAAATGTGCTTAGGAAACTGAAAAGAACAGTAGCTTCTCTTGTGTCCAATACACTGCACTTGCTGGGAAAAGACGCGAGGGCTATTTGCAATGTGTATGGCCAATTGAGCACAATAGTGTCTCTCCTTACCAAAAAACAACTCTTGCTGCTAGGAACAGAATCTGCATGTGATTCAACTTCGTTTATGAAACAGAATTCAACTCTAGCTTGCCTGACAGGAAACACACTCTGCTTTTGAGAAAGCAGAATTCTTCTACTCTACAGTGTTTCCAAAAATCCAGAACAGTCAGCTTGCTCAGAACTAAAG